TTTTAATGGCCAACATTCGGCACCATAAAGCATTGCCGGTCTCACCACCATTTTATAGAATTTTCCCTTAAGTTTGAGGGGGACTTTTCTATCGCACAATAAGCTCGATGCATTCCTCCACTCATCCACCCAATTATTTTGATTAAAGAAAGAAATTCAAATACTTCTCCATTTAAGAAGGACGTATGATTCCAATAATGAGGGAATTTTTAACAGCCGGTTTAAATCATTATCTCTTATTTAATAGGATAGTTTTTAGTTTTCTTTAATGAAGGAGGATTAAATTTGCCATATATGAGCTTTAGATTTCTTCATATCAAGCAGAAATAATAATAATAATAATAATAATAATAATAATAATAATAATAATAATAATAATAATAATAAACTTTCATTTTCCTCCAATCTCTAAAAATAATGATTCCAAACTAATTTTAAAATAATTGTTAGTGATTATTGATTTCTTGCTGCCTAGCTTGTCCAATAATTTAAAATTAAATTATCATACTTAAAACATCTATATATATGTATAGGTTATACAATTCTTAATACTCGTGTTAAATTTTTTTAAGAATGTTACATATATAGATATTTATGTAAATTTTATTTTTTAAGAAAATAAAAAAATTATTATATAGTTAAATTTCATAGATGGATAATTTACTCTTTTATTGTGAAATCACTAAAGCTAAAAACTTAAGCAAACAGTTAATATCTGCTTTTAAGTTTTCATAAGCACTTAAAAAGAATGTTACTAAAAAAACTTTTTTTAAAGCTCTTTTTTTTTTGTCAACATTTGTTTCTAAAACTTCATTTTGCATAAGCAACAATCCAACCAAACGAGGCATTAGTTCTCTCCATAGAATAAATAAAGAGACGCACTTAAATTACATCGAGGAATGCAATCATGCATTCAAGTAAGCAATAAAAGTGGGCTGGGAATGAAAATTGCCCACTTGACTTGTAGCATCACGGCCTAAGGGCTTAGAGTGTCAAGACAACCCACTCTTTGTCACTAGCCTAACTTGCGGCACTGGCTCTTGAGCACTGCAACGCTCCACTCTCTTTCTCTAAGTAGAGATTGCATCACCTCCCCACTATAACCTACGATGCTACAGTGCACAACACTGCATTGCTCTGATATATGGTGTCATGGCATTGTACAGCTGCACAGAAACTTGCAATCCCGGGGAGCTTGACCGACAAAATTGAGGTTTGAGTTACAGTATATCCAATAGATTGACACAATTAGATTCCACATAGAACTAACATTCATCGATACTCCAAAAGAAATATATATATGGACATCATTAGGGGTGTCAATTTTTGACACGACACGAAACACGACCCGAACCCGACCCGGAAAAATCCGGGTTCGGGTCAACCCAAACCCGAAACGGGTCGGGTTCGGGTTCATGAAATCAACCCGTTTTAAAAATCGGGTCGGGTTCGGGTTGACCCGCCAACCCGAAATTGACCCGAAAGTGACCCGAAAGTGACACGAAAACTCATTTTTGACCCGAAAACCCGAGATTGACCCGTTTTTGACCCGATTTTGACCCGAAAACCCGAGATTGACCCGAAAATTAGCAATTTTGGGTCAATTCCGGGTCATTCGTGTCGGGTCGGGTTGACCCGGACCCGAATCGGGTCGGGTTCGGGTCCAGAAACCTGACTCGTTTTTAAAAACGGGTCGGGTTCGGGTTGACCCGAACAGTGCCGGGTCAGTTTCGGGTTCGACCCGAACCCGACCCGTTGACCCGAATTGACACCCCTAGACATCATAACTCCTAAAAATGATTAAAATAACATTTCTAGTGTTTGAAATAAACCAGCTAGAGATATCAAAATGCATGGATATACATTTAGGTAATTCAAAATAACACACACACAGAGAGAGAATGGAACCACGTTGCAGCAGACGAGCTAACAAAACCAACTCTCAACAATAGAAAAACTAACTCCAGTAGCAAATAAACCAAACAACAAGTTATTAGTACGTGGTTGTTTTCACTAGCAAAATATTCGATTGACAATCCAGAATTACATTATCATAGCTCTTGATGTCATTACTATATCTATTGTCACCAATTAAAAATTCAATAACAAAATGGAGCAAATAATTTTGAGATGATTTGTCATATCTAGAGTAGTTTAAAATGAAAAAAAATATAATACTAAAATTCTAATATTAAATTTAAAATAGTTTTTTCCTTTTAATAATATTTTGACTTATTAATATATTAAATTCAACCTCACATCATTTTATAAACAATAATTTAATTTTTTTATATACTATAACTATGTTTATTTTTTTTTCTTTTTGATAAAATTATAAAGTAAATTCAATTTTATATAATTAGTAAATAGATCAGTCAACCATTAAATAATTATATTTTAATATATCATAAATTATAATAGCTTATAAATAAAAAATAAATATTAGATTTTTCAAGTCAACATTGTATCCCTCTTTAAGTAACCTAGGGATAGAATCAACAATTTTAAGCATTGAAATAAAATTACTAAGCCAAACAGCCAGTGACATTGCTTCAAAATATGAGATAAAGTTTACAAATCTTAAAACTGATCAAATCACTTCAAGATGATCAGATTTTTGGTAGATAGATATGTAGCCCTTTAAAGATACCTCATGAATTTCTATGATGCTTTCAATGTTTTAAATCACAACATTTTTTATGTCTACCCAACATTTCTACTGCATATGCAAAGTTAGGTCTTCTACAGATTTGCATATATATACTTACGGCTTCATTTGAGACAACTTTCTTACTGTTTTTTAAATCAGTTTTTTAGTACAAAAATTTATAGTTAACAAAAATTGTACTAAAAAATTGCTTTAGAAAGAACTATTAAAGTTACCCTAAACCATGACTAAGGCTTCGTTTGTGACGGCTTTCTTATTGCTTCTTAAAATAATTTTTTAGTATAAAATTTTTTAAACTATAAAATTTTGATTAAAAAGTTGATTTATAAAGCATTAAGAAAGCTGCCTCAAACAAAGACTTAGGCTTCGTTTGTGACGGCTTTCTTATTGCTTCTTAAAGCTGCTTTGTAGTACAAAAATTAAAAATTTTATACTAAAAAACTACTTTAAGAACCAATAAGAAAGCCTTCCCAAATAAAGCCTTAATTGGCCTAAATATTCCCAAAAAGATTATTTTGCATCTTCACGTCTCCTCTGGCTAAGTTAAAATGTACTGTATGGTGCTGACCAATTGAAAATAAAGGTGTCAAAATAAGTCGATGTAAATTTTCAAAAACAAAAACAAAAAAAGTTAATAGGTAAGGTTCATTTTTTATTTGAAACTAATCCGACCCGAATCTAATTAGTCCAAACCAAATTGTTTAATGAATGATACAAAAAGATGAACCCAAATCTGACCCGTTAACCCGTTTTAAATCAAAATTTTAACATTTTGACTTTGAAATTATTGTACTAAAAGTAACTCCAACCATTTATATAACAAGTAAAAAAAAATCAAGTTCGACAAATTTGCTTGGGTCATTAAAAAAAAATTATTTGCCTACCATCTTTAACCATTTGGGGTTACTACAAATTAAAGATTTCATTTGAGATGATTTAACTACTATTTTTGAAGCAGCTTTTTAGTAAAAAATTGTAAGAAAACCAGTAAGAAGAAAAATTATTAGGTGTGAAGTGCGCACGTCCGCACAAGTACTGGCGGTACCGAGTGCAGGTACAGCTAGGTACCCAATATTTATGCGGACGATAATCTCTCCAGTAAGAAAGACGTCCCAAATGAAACCTAAATATGGAATTATAGAAAGTTTACTAAATAAGGAATGTTCAGTGACCGGGCCAATTCGATCTAGAGAGAATTCAATACACGTGGAGATGAATTTTCTTTCCATCTGGAACACCCTGCGAATTCAAGAAGAGTCTATAAGCTGCCACCAAAGAAGAATAAGAGAATAACAAGTAAGAAACGCCGACATGAGTTGACAATGTGCCAAATGGAGAATTTTTATGTTTTAACTATAAAAAAAATTTATGAGAAAATAAAAATCAAAGATGTGTTGCTTCATGGAAGTCTACCTCTGAAGGAATGAATATATTGGTCTAATTATTCTATTTATTAGTCTACTTTATGATCTATTAAGATTTTATTTGCGAAAGTTTTCTTATCGTTTTTTAAAGAAAATTTTTAGTACAAAATTTTATATAAAGCAATAAAAAATCAATTTTTAAAGCAGCCTCAAACTAAGGGCATCTCCAACTGAAAACCTCATTTTCCACTCTAAAATGTCGTAAAACTTCAAAATGAGGTTTTTCATCTCCAATTGAACTCTTTTTTTTTTTTTTTGTTCGCGTGCTTCTTGGCAAAGAACCATATCTCTCATGTTTCGAGCGCTTCCTGTGAAGCCAAGCAAAGTGCAAAGGTAATAACTTTTTTCGGCGTAGGTGAACAATCCGACGTCAATATTGGCATTGCATTGTTCACCTACCGATTTTTGACGTGAGATTTGGAGTTCGAATGTGACGATTTGCGGACGGCAAACAATGATATGCAGTTCGGTTGAAGATAATATAAACCTAAGTCAAATATCCTTTTTAGGAGAATTTTTTTTTGTGAGGAGTCTGGAGGTAGCTTGCGTCCAGACTCAAATCAAAATAAGTCACGTCGACTGAAAATAGCCTGTGTACAACTTTGTACACAGAGTGTGTGTACAGACGATGTGAGCAATTTTGATTAGAGTCTGGAAGCATCTAGAGTCCACAAAAAATAATTTCTCTTTCTTTTAGTGATGCTTTTGGATATTATGAGGGGGATATTGGACCATGATGAATGATCTCAATCCCTTATCTTTCCAATGGGTTCATTGTATTTGCACCTTTTCAGGACGATCGTATGGCCTTTGGCGGTGCAGAACTTATCTTCATAATGAGTTTCATAGCTGATTGACAGATGCATTTTCCTTTATGAGTTCAGATTTTGAAAATTTTTTACTTATTTTCTTCTTTCTGCTATGATTTTGAGCATTGAATGATTTCTTGTTGCAGCTTTTGTGATTTTCTGTACCTATGAACAAAATGCAATAAGCCAATAAGAAATCTGAAGCTCTTTCATATCATCAAAATTACAATTACATCTCCTCCCTACATACTCTGTTTCATCATCTGCTTTCACATTACCAGCAAATGGAACAGAGTCCAACTCTTCTTCCTTTACATCCATAGATTCACTCCATAAGCTTACAAATTCGTACTCAATGGTCTCAGCGGCCATGTCCCTTCCGCTGCCCGAACATTCAGCGTCGTCTATGTCTTTTGACAGTTCAGAGTCCAGAGTCACAGACTCGTCGGTTTCTTCGTTTCTTTCTCTGACTTCAGTCCAACTATCATCCCACGCCCAGTTCGCCGGCGGTGACTCAAGCTGCCGGATTCTGTTAGGTGAATTTATTTCTTGTGACGCTAATTCCTCCTGCTGCTGCTCCTGATCATCCTCTCCGTCTGTTTCCGAGTCCCACAAATCTAACTCCAGAGTGCTCTTTGGTGATATCCACTTTCCCTTCTTGCTGCTGGAGCAGAGTTCTTCTGCTTCCGCAATAAATGGGTGGTGAAGAAGCTGCTCCGCTGTCCACCTCTCCTTCGGACCCCGTCTCAAGCACTTGGAAACAAAGTCCTTCCCTTTGTCCGAAACCCAATCCGGCAACGCCGGCACGTCGGAAGAAAACGAAATTTGGTGAATAGCCGCAACTGGATTAGTGGCTTCCGGCCACGGAGACTTTCCTGTAGCCATCTCCACTACGGTGCATCCAAGAGACCACACATCGCCGGCGATCCCCTGTTCCTCCCCTCGTACAACCTCCGGCGCCATGAACGCCGGCGTCCCCATCACCGACCGACCGCCATCACCAACACTCTTGGCGCATCCGAAATCCGCAAGCTTGACGATGCCATCGGAGCAGAGAAGAACATTCCTCCCCTTGACATCGCAGTGGGCGATGTCGTTCGAATGGAGGTAGGAGAGCCCGAGTAGGATCTGGCGAGTGAAAGATCGGATTTTGGACTCGTCAAGCCGGCCGGCGAAATCAGAGAGGGCTCCTCCGTTAGCGAGCTCAAGGAACAAGTGGTACGAGTCGCCGGAGATATCAAAGCCGAGGTAGGAGATGATGTAGGGAGACGAGAGGGAAGACAGGATACTCTGCTCTCTTTGAAGAAGAGAGGAGCGGGAGATGGGGGACGACTTGACGGCGAAGAGTTCGCCGGAATTTGATTCGGCGGCGAGGGAGACGGTGGCAGTGGCACCGTAACCGATGGTCGGACCAACTTTCCAGCTGCCGTTTACTTCCATTTGTGATTGCGTTTCAGTTCTCATCTTCTGCGCGTAAACAGAAAATCTCTCTTTGCGCTTTCAGCTCTATCTCTCTCTCCCTCTTTATATAAACAATCGAAAAAAGTGGTAGCCTTAATTAGCTTGTTCCTTCTCCCATCCGCCCACGTTTCTATTGTGTTGCTCTAAAGCTATTGATTTACAATTGTCACATGTGATTAATAAGATTAGTAAGGTGAAAAAGTAAAAAAAAAAATTAATGATATTAATAATTAAATAAAAAAATCTTTATTTGCTCTTATTTTATTTTTATAATATTTATTTATATTTAATATTAGAATCACTTTGATTTGTCCGCAACATAAGTTAGGCGTCATAAATTCTTATTTCTTATGAGGGATCGAGAATGGCGGTAGACATAAATTAAATTCATTTCTATCTTATTTTTTATGCAATTTTACAATTTTTGTAAAACTATTTTTTGTAATTTTGATTTCATGTTTTGTGCATTTATTATATATGTGATTTAGATATTCTTTAAAAAATATTATCATTAAGAAGGGAGGTAATCCCTACATTGAAGAAAATTAATTTTTGTCAATAATATCATAAGAATATCTATATGTTTCACTATAATAAGAATATATAATTATCATTTGTTGATGTTTTCACTCTATATTAGAGTGGATATTTAAGTTTCATTTAAGACAATTTTTTCGCTACATTCTAAAATATTTTTTAGTACAAAATTTTTTTAATTGAAATTTTTTTATTAGAAAGTCATTTTTAGAAAACATTAATAAAGCTATCCAAAATTAAAAAGTTAGGCTTATTTTTATCTATTTTTTTATTTTTATAGAAAAATAATTGAGATACTTTGGCAAGAATTTATTAAAAAAATAAATGTTAAATTTATTTTAAAATATAATAATATTTATTCTTTATTGTGTAATTTTATTATAAATTTTTGATCATATTTTAATACGAAAATTCTACTAAGGGACTGTCTAGTTGGTAGTAAAGTTAATGATGTGTAAAAAAGTATTTGAGGCTATTTTGTTGTATGTAAGTAGGGTGTCAAAAATTGAACACAACTGAATACCTCGACTCGAAACTGACACAAACATTTTGGGTTAAATTTTGATTTTCGACCCGTTCAATTCCGACTTAAATTTGGGTTGACCCGGAAACTCAATTTTCACCTGGAATCCAGCCAGCGAGCGAACAAAGATGCGCACACAAGGGAGAAAGTTACCTTCACAGCAACCAAACTCCCGCCGTTGCTTTCGATCAAAATGTTGTAATTCAAGCCGACTGGAGGGAATGTCGTCCAAGGAGGAAATCGAACAGGTACGAAGAAGTGATGAAGGGGAAAGTTGCCTTCACAAGGACCAAACTCCTTGCGTTGCGTTTGATCAAAATGTTTGTAACTTCTGATCCAACTGGAAGGAACGTCGTCCAAGGAGCAAGTCGAATAGGTACGAAGAAGCGCATGGAAGGGAGAAAGTTACCTTAATAGTGACGAACTTCTCGTCGTTGCTTTCGTTAAAAATGTTGTCTTCCGTTTCGACTGGACGGAAACATCGTCCATGGAGCTAAGTCGAATAGCTATGTAGAACCGTACTAAAGGGAGAAACTTTCACAGCGAGCGAACTATGCGGGTCAAATTTGAGTACGAAAAATTGACCCGTTTGTAAAATGGGTGGGTTCAGGTTAACTTGAACAGTGCCGAGTGAGTTTCAGGTTGGACCTGAATCAGAACCGAGCCAATTTGACAGTGTTAATGTAAAGTGAATGTAAGAGAACTATTTGTTCAAATTTATTTAAAATAATATAAAATTTAATTAATTTTTTAGTGTAATTTTATATACTATTTTGATCATATTTTAATAAGAAAATTCTACTAAGGGGCTGCTTGGTTGATAGTAAAGTGAATGCAGTGTAAGTAAGTACTTTGAGGCTCATTTGAATTTATATATAAGTGAATGCATGAGACTATTTTTTTATTTTAATTGGGTAATACAAAAGTAAAGTAACATCAGCCCATTGTCTAACAAATCACCAGTTCGATTTAATTTCCCAGAAAAATCAAACATAGAGCATACCTTGCGGCTCCAAGTTCAGCACGAGGTGATCGACCATCCTGGGGCTATAGTTTCCAGCACAGAGTGCAAATCAACCAAAACTGGAAAGACGTACCTCGGAGCAATGTGCACGACCTCTTTTCCATCCAAATTCAGCCTCCGGTTGCTTCGACACACACGTGAACGATCTACACGGGCTAGCTGCCTTTGCTAGTCTCATACATATGTGTCTAACCAAACACTCGCCTTCACATGTACCATCCAACTCTGCACCATGCGGGCTAACCACCTTTGTTGTATCGTTTGACTACACACACGGAGTGAACGCGACACTCCGCTTGCTTCACGCACGAACGACTCCCGTCTCGCCTCCATCCAAAGAATAGTGAAGTCAAGCAGCAATGACATGTTCCGAAGATGTTGTGCTCTATGATGTTGTGTTCCCGCGGGCTTTTGTCTCGTCCTCCCAATATTTTTTCGCTCAAAAACATAATTTTAGTTTATGCGAAATTGAATTACGTGGAAAATTTCTAATTATTAGGATTTCACTTTACTTAAAGCCCTATAAGCATCATACGGTATAAAAATTTCTTTTTTTCAACAAAAAGCCTAATAATTTTCTATGAATAAAAAATTTATTCACAATAATGCCACGTGGTGGCGCACTGGCGGGAAGCGATAGATCTGGACACCGAAGATTAATGCGAAGCGTGGGAGTTCCAACTCCGGGAAAGGTAGGGATAACGGACTGTCTTCCAGCTTTGTTTTTACAGCGTTCACACCTGAAAATATAGCTAACTCCTCCAACTCAATCGGAGGTGGGACCCAGAATTGCAACGTGGCTTGTGGGCCTCTGGGAAACGTGTCGTGATCTCATGGTGTATCGTTGCGACAGCTCGCCAACAATGGAAAGTTCCACGTGCTCAATTCAGAATGGTGTTCTCCCTATCCGGTTAGGAACGTTAGGGTTTTTTTTTTTTTTTGAAATGGGTGGCAAAAAGCCCGTATATTAATCTACCAGAAAGGGTTAAGTAAAGAAAATTATTCAAGTATAGAGAAAAACTAATACACCCACATAAAAACAAGAAAAGAGAAAAGAGAAAAACCGCTATAGGTACTCAGGTTTAAGGATTACATCTCAGAAGCGCAACAATGCAAAATATACTTCAGATTCAGTTATAAACCACAGGACACAGGTTTGCCCATGCAGTAGGGCCATCATCAGTGCCCCAAAAATCGCATTCCTGGTTGCGGAAACCCTTCCAGGATGCGTGAGAGATGTAAGCTTAGTCATTATGTCCCAAAAAACTTTCCAAACCCATCCAGTAAAACAGTCGACGAACAAAATTGGAGGAAGAATACAGCAACAGAAATAACATTCTAGCACCATCAAAAATGGTACCAAGATGCGATCAATCCGGGTAATCATAAACCATCAGCAGTTAGGGCAAGCAATAAGAAGTAAATTCCCCTCCAGCCTACCAAAGTGGATAAAACAGATTACCCAAGATTTCCAAAAACTTCTGTTAGTCCTATTCGATAATATGCTCCAGTGAGAAACTTTAGCCTTGATGACTATGAATAATAGTAAATTTTTTAAATCAATTGGGCTCCTTCCAATTTCCCAGAAAAAACGTTATATTATTTCTTTCCCGCAAAGGAATAAACCAAAAAAGCAAGAAAGTATAACAGATAAGTTCCCGTCAGTTCTGTCAAGATTCCAAATTTCCAAAATATCATATGCTTGAACAGTTTTGGTTAATGGTAAAATGAAGTCATCGAGGAATAAGCGTTAAGAATGGAAAATAAGAAATTACATTCAAATACACAATGATGAATGTGATTCCAAATTAGCAGTCAAAACAGCAACCATCATGAACAAGATACCCTCGATTAACAGGTTATCAGACCGTTTTTAATTTTCCCAGTAAAGCATCCACTGCATAACAGGCATATGCGCAAAACGTATCTTTTGTGCCATAAAAACTTACCCAAACAACATCCTCCAAGTCTCATTCACGGATAACATTTAATTTTCTTAGAAGAGGGAATTGAGGAGCGTCTCCAGTAAGAACTGGTTGCTCCTCCCCAATAGCAGTTTTCATAATAATAGATCTGGCGTGTAGCAGGAACAAATCAGAAGAGTCCATTGATTATTGAGTTAATGCAATCATTAATTTAATTGCCAAATGGTGAGAGTAGAAAAATCAGCAACCGGTTATTATCACTACCAAGATCTCTCATAAGAAAGACAATTTTGCAATTCCGGTTACATGGATAGCGTTGAAATTGCGGGGGAGGAGGCAGCGAGTTGGCAACAGTTTCCAAATTTTGGAAGCCATATGTAGGGTGGTGATTTTCCAGATAGTGGTCAAATTTTTCTTCTAACAATGCACCAACCAATTTACTCTCATTGTACATCTAAGTAAAGGAGCAAATTATTTGTGCTGAATATGAATCAAGGAGGCAGCCCAATCCACCTTTAGATTTAGGGCAAAGTACAGATTTCCAAGAAATATATGTAATCTCCTCTCCCTAATGATTCGCAAAAGAGAGAATTTGGAGCATAGACGAGAGATAAATTATGCAACAATGCTTAGTATAGTCCCTGCGAATCACAATAAGCGATGGTGTTGGCAATAGTGAATTTCAAGAATTGACTTACTTGCAAAAGAGAGGAACTTAACTTTCAACCCCAAGTAGAATTAAAAACTCTATTCAATAGGGGCTGGAAGTGAGAAGAATTTAAGTCTTGCAAGTGGAGATCGGAGGCCAGGGGGTAGAGTTGCTACCCTTCAGATATTAATATCCAAGATCAGTTAGAAAATTGTAAGGCAGAAGAAGTGCTCTAGAAAGAGTAAAGAATCTAGCCTGGATTGATATGAGAGACACAGAGGCTATCTGCAAACATTTGAAGTGAATCGTTCAGGTTTATTAGCATTTATCCACAGGTTGCCCGGCCAAACACCAAACAGATCATCCGCATACATGAGATGATTAAACTAAAGTGATTATGCTTGGAAACCAATATAATGGTTATCTCCTTTCGAATCAGACAATGGAAGGGCATCCATG